TAGAGTTACTGTCAAGTTAAGCTGCATTTTTGCTTCAAAGTAATAATCCTTCCTTCACACTTAAAACTTCTTCAAGAGAGTCATCACCACGAACAACTCGTAGAACAATTGTGCTTTCCATTAGAGCGCATCCTTTTCAACTTCTACTTTAAAAATCACGTAGGATAACAACCCTAAGGTAATTAAGTCTGGCAGCCCATGATTGAATTGCTAGAAGACAAAATGTCACAGCTCCTCAAAACTCTCATTTCACCCTGTTTTAACACAACATAGATACTTGAGACATGAGCTACACTACATTTACACTTTTAATTTTTTAAACCAATACGCTCTATCGATAAGACTCTGAAGGCAAATCCAGCTATAACCCTAACAACGACGCTTTATGCCGAAGTATTTATATCCCTACCCACGGGAGCAGCTGTGGCAGCACAAACACTCCCATGCCAATATAAATGCGTACAGATTCCCCGCAGCGTGCTGCTTTAACTATACTCCAATTGAGTTAAGTGCTAAAATTTTCTAGGCTTAGTGACACCGATATTTTACTTCATGGTAGCTGATCCATCATAGCTGTCGGTGTGCATGCTCTTAGCCCATGGCAAAGGCAGCACAATTTGAGTTGTTTTGCCCTGCTTCATAGAAAACTAAGATGACTCAAATTACTTTGAATTTGCTGCAGGCAAAGCTCGCGCGCATGGACAGCTATAATGGATCAACTGACGTGCAGTAAAAGACTGGTGGGGCTAAGCCCAGTGCTGAAAAAGAGCACAAGTCCTTTTTTTCCCCCCAGCACTTAACACAACAAGGGCCAAATCTAACTTGAGCCTTTGAAAGCTACAACACATATGATCAGATGAGTGAAAAACAACAACTAAAAAGCTCCTACATGTTGCAGCCTCTTCAAGAGCGATGTTAGCCACAGAACAACTTGAATATAGAGATGAAGATCTGGACAGTTACTCAGTTATCTCTGCTCCTAACTACTGCAGGTTTGCCAGCTTTGCTTACGCCCTCTATTTTTCCTTCATCACCTTTTCCTTTCCTTACCTGTTCCCACCCCAATCTGCTCCAGCTATAATTCCCTGCTTTAGCAGTCTCAGTGAGCTTTTTGAAAAATGATAAATACTCAAGATCTGTCCATCGATGGTACCTGCAGCACCTGCATACCTTACATTGGTACACTGAGTTATGGTGTTATTTATCTTTCCCATCTGTATTAAGCAAAAACAGGGTTAATAATATCTCACGTGGAAGCCATGCACTGACACTAACCCTTTTGGTCACCCTCTCTCATTTTTCCATCAATTTATCACAGAGTGCTCAAATTAAACCCAAATTTTAATTTATTTTTCATGTAGATGTCAAGGCACTTTTAACCACTAAAATCCAAATATTACAGCAAGCCCACCCAAAACATGCAATTTGTCCATCATTAAAATACACCTCTATTTCCAGTGAAGTCTTACTCGTTCATCTCATAACAAGGCTTTTACAAATGAACCTATTAAGAAAAATATTTCAAGGATGCAACTAACTTCTAGTCATTATCTGGTCATCTGACACTCCTATGTGTGTTCTTTGGTAGCTACTAGCACAGTACGTATTCCATAGCACATGCTGAACACAACTGCATCACAACCTGTATCACTTCTAATGCAATTTCTCATTAATTGAAAATAGGCAAGAATCTAAATTGTACATATCTATTACAAGTACTGTAGAGAAGTCCTGTCTTGTCGAACTACGCAAGAAACTGTCAATGCCATTAGAAATGCTCCTTGAAAACTGACACGGCACAATGTGTCAGTAGTTTCTGATGATGTCAGATGAGAAACTGCAGCAACAGCTAAGAGCAGAGCAGTGCTCCCTCGAGACGCCAACTTTGGCAAGTTGTACTGAAATGCTGCAAGGATGTTTCTGAAATTGAGATTACTGAAACGTAATACCTCTTTTTGAAAATTTTACTGCACACAATTTATCAAGCCAAAGCTACAGTTCCAGGAAGAAAGGACCATCTGTTTTTCTTTGGGTTTCTTTTTTAAGGCTCATCTTTAATCAATTTGAAGTTTTTTCATACACTGGAATGCAAAGAATTAATAACTTAACTAGATAAATGACTCAATGTGTCTCCTTGAAATACTGACTCCTCTGATTTCAATTATAATTAACTATAAAATAACTGCCTACTTGTAATATAGACTTATTAAATCTGATACCTTTACACTTTTAACCTACAAAAGGGGCAACAAGGACTCTGGATCTACTTCCATTTCAAGCTTTGCACTTCGCCTACTATATTTACCATTTGGATGAGTATAATCTCTCATAGACCTATTTTTACACTCCAAATGGGAAAGTACTTATGACAACAAAGGTGCTATGCTTAATACTCACAAGGTTTTCAGAAATTTGGAAATGAAAGGGTTGCATTGTAAATCTGATCTTATACATAATTTTAAACTAAATGCTTGTTAACAAAAGCCTTTGAAAGATCAGAAGAAACTGCACTGAAAGTAATACAGTATATTCACTCAAATATTTCTCAAACTCAAAGCAAGACTACCATTAGGTAAAGGTTTATTAGAAGTTACATTTAGCCAATATATCAATATTTCCATAATCCTTCACTTTTGACTACGTAAAACTAATTCATACAAATATACGAAAAGATGAAACTGAAAGACATGATGAAAGTAGCTGGTCTCATTTCCACCAATATAATACCTTAAATGACCAACATCTAAAGTATCAATTACAGATGCAGTGCACTGAAACTGTCCAGTTGGTTTCCAAGTTATCTTCTCACTTTCAAAAGCTCATAAAATAAACACAACTTTTATGCAAAAAGCACAGGACACAATTTAAAAACCAAACCCAAAATCTGACAAACACCTATTAAAGGTCTATCACATAACACAGCAGGACCATTAGAGATAAGTAGAAGAACTTCTACTCTTACTGGTGAGATTCAGGGTTGTCCTCTTTAGACACGATTCTCTACTATACCACAGCCTCACCAAACTTCATATGGATTCATTCTATCAATCTCTATTTAATCCAAGAGTCTCACTTTTGAACTGTCCCCTAATTATGTGGCTATAGAGAATACTTTATTTTTGCAAGAACCTGTCACCCAAAACACTGCCTGAAATGTATTTCTAAGGCTTCTTTTTAGATACACTATGATAGAACAAAAGCTGATCGTTCACAATTTTAGACCATCAAATTATGGCTTGAGTGAAGGAGGTAGTTTAGCTGAGTATCTCTCCTGTGATTAATAACACAACATTGACAGTTTACTGAAAAATAAACTATAACCCACAACATTGCAACCAAAGGACTCAAAGCCCCTATACTACAGAGGGTACTTAGACATCTGGCATATTATTAGTGGTTTATAACACTACATATCCAGGCATCCACTCTATTCTACTGTCAGAAACTGTAATCCTGTTATGCAAACAACAGGAGTAAACGTCTGCCTGTGCCACCTCTACCATCACAACCCACAAAGTGGAAAACGAGCCCAGAATTCCATCAGCAGCTTAAGCTACTATGTCAGAATACGGCATCATGGTCTGCTAACATTGACCTGCCACAGCTCCATCTGCCTGAGCCTACTCTTCAAATCTGTTAGATGTGCTCAGTTTATGCACAGAACTGAGACTGAAAAAAAAAATAATAAAAAAAAAAGAAAATAATAAAAAGCCCACAACCAACCTCTAAACTCCTACCACCCTTTCAGGAATGAAATTTTGCCAAGCATAACGTAGCATCCAAGCTCCTGGAGCTGCCCTTCCAATTTCATTAAAGGCATTAACATGCATACATACAACTGTGGGTTTTCTTTTTTTACAAACAAAATATATGCTACTTTTGAAGAGATAAACTTATGAATCTTCCAGACTATACTCCTGAATCGATATTCCATCACTGCTTTAAAAAGTTGTGTATGCAGCCGATTCCAACATTCCAAAACGTCTCTGCTGTATTACGAAAATAAAACATTTATCTAAATACCTATCTTCTCATTTCCCGTAACGTTAAAAGAGATGTCTTTTGTCAAGTAAAACTGACCTTAATATTTGACTGCTAGGGAAAAAAAGTATGTTACCTAGCTGCAGCTCTTACTTAAGAGGACTAAAGGCCCAGCAAGGGAATATAATAGCAGTGCAACAGTATGAGAGTTCCTCAGCATGGAATCCTGCCAAAATTATCTGTTCAGATAAATGGCCTGACAAAACGGAACCATAAATAAGTTACTCTTTCGACATCATAAAGTTGACGCATATCCTGCCCAAGCTAGTTTTGTATAAAACAGCAAATAAATCTAAGAGATAAATAAAATGCAGAGAGATGCTTTTATTTCAGATAAGTCTGTCTATTTATTCAGAAACCCATTTGTGTGACAATTTTGGCCTATCTGAAATGATTTTTCTGAGTATGTGCAACTCAGATCTGTTTCCAGCCTACAACACTATAAACACTGATTATTTCATACCCTATGCAGCATATTTTGTGTAACCAAGTTCAAGTTAAAACCACAGTTATTAAAATGAACCATCAACTTTGCAATTGCCTACAGGGCTATTTTTTTTAAATAAATCTTTATAGTATAACTTGGATAATGAAGAAAGAAGTTAGATGAGAGCATTTGCAACGTGGGGTGAAATAGCATCAAAAACAAAGTATTGAAAGAGACTTTGAAAATACTCAGAATCTTTTTTCATAATTTTGAAAAATGCTTTTAGTACTTAAAGCAGAAATACTTTCACCTATAAGCAGCACATGTGGTATCTTTAAAAAGAAAAGCTTAAGCATGTAGTCCAGGCATCCTCCAGGAGATTTATGGTTTAATCACTCAATATACCACATATTTGACACAAGTTTTTTTTTAAATATTGGAACAGAATTTAAATCTAGGTCATTTAACTGGGTATGTCCTGGGCAAAATTTAAACACATTTTCCTTTCAAATTAAAGGGTTTAGTGACCTACCAAATCCTGGAATGCTTTTGAGACTGGATTTGAGACAGATTTTTTCAAGTCTGAGGTAGCTGTATCGCAGCAGGCAGTTCCACAGGAACATCCAGTCCATTCGTGTGCGATGGTTCATGATAATGACACTCCTTTCTCCAGGAACAAATCCGTCACCAGTGACAACCACCTTGGCACCAAACACCATCTCCAGCAAGGCCTAGAAATAGTATCTCAATATTATTATTTTTATATCTTTACTCCCAGAAGTAAAGCATCAGCCCATTAGCAATAAAAATTAATTTGAATTATATCATCTCACTTATTCACTCACATTATCACTGGTAGACAAACTTCTGACTGTTTCCTAATAAAGCAGCCAGCTTTTCCATAATAACAGTCAGCTGTTTAATGGAAAATGAAAGAACAATTGAATAGCACTTCCTAAAAAGCACTATTTTACAATGGTCAACATTAAATTCACTTCTCCCCTGTTTTTCCCAGAATACTATCATGTAGGAATAAAAGTAAGGGTATCAGTATGGATTATCACATGGTAGGTAAAATCTAAGGACAGGCTGGCCGCACAAATAATCTACTGCTCAATACTGTCAGACTGGGAAGACATGAGAAGCTGCCTTGATTTCTGCTTGGGTCCAAGTGGTCAACATGATCGTGCTTGACTTCCACCTGCAAAAATGACTAGAACCTAATGGCAGAAAGGGCAGCTTAGACAGAAAAACCCCAAATAAGCTTGAATATAGTACAGTGATGCAGACCTAAATCTGTACAACTCTGCAGTGCTACCTTGAAGCCCGGGACTCCATTCCACAATTAGCAAAAAGCATCAACCACCAAACCCTGGTACACAAACAGGCAGAAAGGGTTGACTTTGTGACACTATCAGCACCCAGCTAAATTTCACCATGGCAAGAAATAACAACCCCTCTATTCCCTTTACTGGTAATTATTTCTTCCCTTCTAATTTCATCACATTTAGTAATGATGAGAAGGACAAAAGTTTTAGAACATGAAACAGTGCACACCCCTTTAAAACACACAAGACAGAAACAGAAAAAGCAGAAACCATTTGATACATAATAAGGATAAATCTTCCTTTATGCCGCAGGATACGTATTTCTGCACACTAATATAGCATTTTACTTCAGAGAAAGTTAAGCAAATCTTTAAAGGCCTAGAGGAACAAAGTCCTTTGGTTTTCAGAGAAATGGATGAAGAGACAGATCCCATTCATACCACCTTTCCTCAGGAACAAATCAGGGGAGAGCTTTGTTATTGATTTCCAGACTCCTATTATAAGTGAGGAAGACTTCATTTCTAGGGGAAGTTCTTCTTTCTCAGATGAAATTATTTAACTTTAATCCAACTATAAGGACTACATTCTAAGAGGAATGAGTAAGAAAACAGTGAAAGTCAGCAACAATGTACCAGACAGTGAAAAATTTTCCTAATTAGATAGTTGGAGCACAGTCGTCGAAAGGAAGAGCTTATAAGATGACACATTTAGGAAGTCTGTAATTTTAAAAAATCCTCCTGCTTACTAGTGCATCACCTACTCTTCTCTCATCAGCTTCTAACTGACAGTGGATGGAGATGTCACAAAAAGGCCATTTCAAGAGCAGATTTAAGATATGGCATTAGCTTACATATAAATTGAACTGTGGAAGAAGAGAGGGTCTCTAGACAGGCACACAGTCTGGAAGACTGAGCTAAAACCTAGGTCTCCACAGATAGTAAGTGTGTTAAGGACCGTTTTCACAAAAGCTTCAAAAAAATAAAATTAAATCAAAAGCATTAGTGAGCAAACTAAATCATGGGATTACGAAGAGTTGCCCAGAACTTGGCTGAAACTGCAACTTACCACTGGGAGCGTGAGCCAAGTGGCCACAACGCAATCGGTGATCCAGCGGTACCAGGCCGGTGAGATAAACATCAAAGGTAGAAAAGGACCGAGCATGAATATACTTCCAAAAAAACTTCCCAAGAACAGTGCAAGTACAAAGTATATCCCTTTCCATGACACCATGGCTCTGAAAAAGAAAGTTGGCATTATGTTAGAGAGAGAAACTGAAAGTAATTACGTAACTCCTCAAGTCCATAAGTCCCATCTGAGATAATATTCCTCCTTTTTTTTCCATGGCTAACACCACATGATGACAGTAAACGCAACCAAAATGTTCTACCTCACAAGCAGCAGTAAGAGAACGACTTTGTAAACACAGTGGTTTGTAAGGAGCATTGGGATATTAAAGGGGTCATAAACGCATCAGCTACATCATAATCTCCTCCACTTATTACAATATGTAGTCCCACTCTAAAATCTTCAATAAGCTATTTTTATTATTCAAAGGTACAAAAGAGCTATGTAAGAGAGTACTTTGCCAACGACAAAGACGTTAGCATTTTCTGAAGACAGGGGACTTTGCTTTTCTATTTCTCCATTTTCTCCATTTTGTTTCTTCTTGCTAAACAGTGTTGTAGAAACTCATCTTCTCCACCTAACAAGGGCCTATGTGAACTCTCCTCCAAAACCCACTCAAACCTTGTGAGACTGATCAGCCATTTCAAACACCAGTTCCCTTTTCATCACAACAGGGCAGGCAAGCAGCGCCTGAAACTTCCCAACTCACCCTAGCTCAAAAAGTCAAATTTGTGACTTCTTGAAGTCTGCTGTACTTCAACTGTCCTTATCAGTTATTTTCCAACTTATTCCACCAAAAAGCCAATAGCCTTTGGTTTTTAAGACAGTCTAGACTTGAAATATTTCAATGTCTGTGCTATCAGCTAGACACCCTTATTATAAATTAAAATGTACAGTGCACAGAGCTTCTTAATGCATTATGGCAGAACACTCAGCAATCCCTCCAAGTATTTGTAATAGCTACAAGCTTTCACAATCTAGCAACTACTACCAGCTATGACAAAGCAAATGTGGAAATATCAATTCCCTAAATTAGGGCCTAAAAATAGACTGTTTTCATCTATTTAGGACTCAACCATTGTTTATAAAATCAAAGGTTAAGCAGAAGTCACTTTTCAGTCACTTTACTGAATTCCTTTTTTGACAGGCTATTTTAGAAGCTATAAGAGCTCAGATAGACAGGACTTCAGGACAAGAAAAACAGGAAGCTGGTGTTTTTAATTTTGAAATGAGCAATATAAAAGTAACCCATTAAACCTTGTGTACTGTAACATACATGGTTTATCTCAAGCATGTTTTGGACAATGTCCATAGCAATAACGTTTGCACAGCAAGTATTCAAAAGTCAAGGAATGGCAACACTAGTGTTGCTAACGCAGGAATTTGCTTCTGCTACTTCACGTTGACAAGTAACAAGAAAGTAGCTCTTTTAGGATACTTTTAGGTTTAAACAATTTCCTAAACTGTACCTATTTGGAGGAAGGCCAAGAGGCCATGCAAATTTGTTAATGTAAGAAGGATACAGGAAGCTGTATTTCGACTGATTTTTGCAGCGTAACAAAAAAAGCAACACTAAATACAAATGTTTGCTGATAGCTGTACCAAATATTTTAACACAATGAAACCTGAATTCAAACAAATACACATTATTTACATTCTGGAGCACAGAGCCCTGTCTTCCCTGCTAAAAGCAGGAACTAAATCACCAGCTGTCCACATATGCATGCGCTAAGTAGGATCGATTTTGACGTATCAAAGGATCCTTGAAGAGCACTGTACTGAAGAAGCAGTGCTTCAACTGCCTTCTTGGATTTATTACTGCAAACCTGTGTGGGGAAAGTCCGAAACAGAGGTAGCAGAGGACAAAAGAAAAAACCCAGAGAAGGACAGAAACAACAGAAAGGGCAAAGAAAAGCATTAACTGTGGCAGCACTTGAAGAAAAGGCCTTTTCTTGACGTATCAAGACTTGAGACCTACTGCAGCAGGCAGTAGAGAGGATTAAAGTTCAGTGTCCTTGATCTAATCAAGCATTTTTTTTAAGGAATACACACAGCAGAGCAACTGGGAACGTCTAGGGACAGCTTTCAGAGAGGTAAAACCCACTAGCAGACACGGAACACACGTTTGTTTAGCTTCAGCCATCCGCTCCGGTCCTCTGCGAGGCTGCTCAGAGCCACTGGTCACGCAGTCAGACGCAGGGACGTCCGCCAGACAGACACCCCGGCTCCCAGCAGCTGCCGGACAGCACAGAGGAACGCGTTCCCGATCCGAATACTTGACTACCGCACACAAGTAACCACAGAGTTAACGAGAGAAGACGTCAGTCTGTCATCCCTCCTAGACTCTTAGGAAAGCAATGTAGGTCACTTATTTACAGGCAGAGCTTTTCACAGTTTACACTGGTCCTTCCCTCAACTTACAGGACAGAGCCAAACATTTAAGAAAAAAAAATATCTCTTTTCTGTATTTTATCTGAAAGACTGTCTTGCAAATCTTTTTTTTTTTTTTAATGAAGGTACCTGAGCTATGGAAAAGACCTGAGAAACTTCTGAAGTTTCTCTTCTTCAACCTGCAACCCCAGCAGTATTTTCTTTAACTTTACTGCATATACATATAGAAATTATACTGCATTCCACTGAGCTAAACAGTGTGGTGTTTATTTCTAGACACAAAAGATACCACGTGTGTTTTTAATCGATGTCATTTATGTCTCCCGCCGTCACATTTTTCAAGTGTGATACATACCATGTTTTGCTTATTGCTTATATATATAATACATTGTATATCCTTACAAATGCACACATGCATTTATCTAGAATAAAGGATAGACTTTGTCTCTGAATTACCTCAACTACAATAAGGCACATACCATGCAGACAGGTATGAGAACAGAAGAACAACTCCCTCTTAACAAATTGAGCAAAACCGCAAAATGAGAACCCTGTGATAACCATAGAATCATAGAATGGTTAGGGTTGGAAGGGACCTCAAAGATGATCTAGTTTCAATCCCCCTGCCATGGGCAGGGAAACCCTCCACCACATCAGGTTGCCCAAAGCCTCATCCAACCTGGCCTTGAACACTTCCAGGGATGGGGCATCTACGACTTCTCTGGGAAACCTGTTCCAGTGCCTCACCACCCTCTAGGTGAAAAATTTCTTCCTTATATCTAATCTAAATCTCCCCTCTTTTGGTTTAAATCCACTGCCCCTTGTCCTATCACTACACACCCTTGTAAAATGTCCCTCTCCAGCCTTCCTGTAGGCCCCCTTTAAGTACTGGAAGGCTGCAATAAGATCACCTCGGAGCCTTCTCTTCTCCAGGCTGAACAGCCCCAACTCTCTCAGCCTGTCTTCATAGCAGAGGTGCTCCAGCCCTCAGATCATCTTCATGACCCTCCTCTGGACCCACCCCAGCAGCTCCATGTCCTTCTTGTGTTGGGGACTCCAGAGCTGAATGCAGTATTCCAGGTGAAGTCTAACGAGAGCAGTGTGAAGAACTTATGGCTGAGCTTAACCATCCAGCTGGCCTTCAGAAAACCATGCTCAGCAAGCTCGTTTTAGTAACAAGGTGAAATTGTTAAGACACTCAACCCATTTCTTTTCATTTGTGCGTTCACATGCTGGAGTTACAGCCCGGACAACAGGTTACATGACTTAAAATGCATCTGCCTATGTATGTCAGTTGAGAAACATTTACATATATTTTCATTCTAGCTAACAGTCAGGGATGGGTATAACATCACCCAAGCTGCTGGGCACAGTGGCTGCCAAAAGCACATGCCCTAGGCTAGTGAGCAGAAGCGTTGCTCTGTGTGTGTTCAGGGCAGGGAGGGCAGAGAGGAGGCTGAAGCCCCAGGCTGGACTGGACACACTCACCAGACCCTGTGCCCTCTCTAACTGAAGCGGTGCCACTCCAGCACCTCCTCAGCCAGGAGTACAGGGCACAAGTTTGTAAATCGTACAGAGCCAGCTCTGGTCAGACAAAACTATCAGTCACAACTTTGAATCCTACTAAAGCTTGGGAATTGCCCCGTCTCTGAAGCAGTACAGTCGCGTTCACAGCACGGCAACTTGCCTAACAAACCCTCTTTTGCCCGTCTTTGCTCAGCTCTGTATCCTCACCTTTTCCCCTTCCCAATAGCAACCCCTCTCCCAGCCCCACACCTCACGTCTCCCATCCCAATGCGGCAATACCCCTTCCATACATACCCCATCTCCCCCCTGCCCCTTTCGATACCCGCTTGTCTGGGCAGATGAAGAGCAGTGGGCTGCAGGTGGGCACCGACCCTGCCAAGAAGGAAATCTGCAATGCCGAGGACTGCACAGTTGGCATGCAGGCTCAGCTATCGAGTCCTGCCAGGCCAGGCCAGGCTCCACACGCTTGCGTCCAACTTGTGTTGGCACTGCAAGGGCTGCCGGACCCAGGTTACCATCCTGTCAGTCACCTGAGGAATTCCCAGACATCTGCCACAAAAGACAATAGGGAATTGACTCTATTATCATCCTTCCCCATCTCTCAGCCCCTTAAACACCCAGCTTAGTATCTTTATAGAGAGATGTCGGATATCCCAAATCTAACACAGGTGTTCAACAAGTTACAGCTACAAATCAATGCAAAATACATGCCTGCAACTTCAAAACATGGTTAAAAATCAACCAAATAACCTCAAAGGGAAAGAAGTACTGAATAAGGACTTGCAAAGTGATCTAAAACAAAATGTGAAAAATCTCCAAACAAAGAAAATGGGAGCTGATTCATGTCAGAGATGAGACACCCAAGAGATGAATTACAGGATTTGACAGAAAGTCTGAATAACAGAACCCAAGTGTTTCCAAAGTACAGAAGTATTTCTTTACTGCTGCTGACAACTATCTCTTCCCAACGCAGCAGTCACACTCAACACCAGATTTAGCATGTGTCACAGCCTTTATGCATCTTAGAGCCACTTTCCATTTGCTGTGTGGGTCAGAGCTGTGGGTAGACGGTCAAAACTATTTTAAGATTCAGGCTGAAAGCTACACACAGAGAGAAAGCACCCTCATACTGGGCTTGTAGTTCTTAATCTATTTTGTGGCAGAACTCCAAGTTATTGGGGTATTGTACTTGAC